AGAATGCATATCACTCTGTTCCACGAGCAGCTTTGGGGCTCTCTGATCACTGTCTGGTTCATCTTATACCGACCAGAAACTGAAATCAGCTAAACCTGTATTAAGGACTGTAAAAAGATTGGGATCTACAAGCCTGTTTTGACCTCACTGATTGGAGTGTTTTTGAAGCTGCTGCCACCGATCTGGACAAGCTCACAGAGACTGTAACATCATATATCAGTTTCTGTGAAGACATGTGCATTCCTACCAGGACTCATTTAACTTACAACAATGACAAACCATGGTTCACTGCAAAACTTAGACAGCTCCGTCAGGCCAAAGAAGATGCTTACAGAAAGGGGGACAATGTCTTGTATAAACAGGCCAAATACACACTGGAAAAGGAGATCAGAGTGGCAAAGAGGAATTATTCTGAAAAACTAAGGACTCAGTTCACTTCCAGTGACTCAGCATCAGTGTGGAAAAGTCTGAAAGAGATCACCAACTACAAGAAACCATCCCCCAGCACTGTGGAGAACCAACAACTGGCAGACGATCTGAATGAGTTCTACTGCAGGTTTGAAAAAACACCCCACACCCGCCCTGAACACCTCTCCACACAACCATTCACACCTCCTGCAACCCCCCTCTCCCCCAAACCTGCAATTCAAATCAGTGAAGACGAGGTGCGCCAGGTCTTCCGGAAGCAGAAAAGGAAAAAAGCACCAGGCCCAGATTGTGTTACACCAGTCTGTCTGACAGATCACTGGAGCTGTGCCAAGTCCCTTCATGCTTCAAATGCTCCACCATTATCCCCTTCCCAAAGAAATAAAAAATTACAAGACTAAATGACTACAGGTCTGTGGCTCTAACTTCTGTCGTCATGAAGTAATTTGAAAAACTGGTGCTGGCCCTCCTGAAGGACATTACTGGACCCTTACTGGATCCTCTTCAGTTTGCCTACAAAGCAATCAGGTCTGTGGACGATGCAGTCAACATGGGACTGCATTATGTTCTGCAACATCTAGACAGACCAGGGACTTATGTGAGGATCCTGTTCGTGGACTTCAGCT